CTGTGTTGTGGGTAGGCGCAGGGCAGGGCAAGCTCAGCAGGGGGGAGGGGTGGCCACAGCCCCCCAAGCCTCCTCCCCAGTGCTGCCCCTCATTAGGGACCCACCAAATTAATGGACAGAGTAGGCTGCGCAGCAGCTCCTTTAATCTTGACGCTTCCCCTGTATGCCCCTCAACAGTTGATTGGGAGAGGGGCCCCACTGCTTGCCGTTTGCTCCTGATCTGCAAAGAAGGCAAAAACGGCAGCTTAATATGGCACTGTTTTGCTGCTTGCCAATGATTGGCTAAGGGGCCCTGGGAGCCCTGATGTTTGTTGCTGACAGGTGGGAAGCAAGAACCACATCATATTTAAAACTGTGTTTTTTTGCCTCTGCACTGATCAGGAGGGAGCATCAAGTAAGGGGGGGGAGGGCAAGGAGAGTGCACAAGGAAACCATTCTCCTTGTATTGATTTTTACAAAACACTTCATATCAGGGCTGCCAACATACTAAGACAACAGCTATATGGCTTATCAACACTGTCTCAGTTCTTTATGTTCTTTTCCTTCCTATCTCTGGTTAGATAAACTTTTTATTGTCTGGATCAGGATCTGTTTTTTTTCATTCTGTATTTGTACCACACAATATATCCTAGTTCATCCTGGGAGTTACAATACTACAATTAATAAACAATCAATCATATATATTATATTGTGTAGAAATTCATACCTTTTATCTTGAAGGATTAACTGTTCCAGCTGGTCTCTCCAAAGTATGTCATCTTCTGTTTTATTGAAGAACATCAATTTCACTGTCCTTTAAAAAAAATACAATTTTGATAACAAATATTTAATTACAGCTTGCTAACATTATTAGGAGTAATGTTAGCATTTAGAGATACCAGACTCCAGAGTTAAATGCCTTAATAAAAACTGGGCAAACAGAATGGTTATAAATTAACGTCACGTCTATAAACTTAACCTTTAGGGTGTAAAACAGGGGTGCCTGACTCCTAGCTCAAGGAGCTATGTGATCTCATGGGGCTCCTGAAGGATCCAGAAGTTTGACAGTTGGAGAAAAGTGGCAATTAATACTACCAGTGCTCCCCCATCACCAAACTTCCAAACCCCACAGGTCAAATGACATGGCCCTGTGCATGGGATTTAGCTGGTGTGAGAGAGGCTGGGATGGCAGACCTGATCTGGTGCATGCAAGACCAGAGCTGGAATGGCAGGTCCAATCAGGTAGGGCAGGGGCCCGATTTGGGAGCAGGGCTGACAGCACAATATAGCACATGGGACCAGGGCCCAACCTGGCATGTACCTGATCAGTCTTTCAGCCCCAACCCTGCAGAACTCATCCAGCCCACAGGGCTAAAAGCTGTTGAGATATTTTTAAATAAGGAACACTCTGAAGCACAACTGTTTAGAAATTTAAAACCACTATTAAAAAGGGCAATTTTAATATAATAGATTTTTATGGCGATTCAAAATACACTTAAAAATGCAAATAAATACATACATAAAGAAAGGAAGCACAAGAGAGATTAGTGCACGATTGAGAAAAAACATCCAGAATCTGGCACTTCTCATTCTTGCTGACCTCTTTCCTGATAACAAATTCTTCTGGGTAGAAACTAGCCTATTTTGTAGAGGTGTACTTTTTCAAGTGGTAGATCATTTAAATCACCAATCTTTATTATTAGCCTTTGGGTAGTACCCCTTAAAAAATTTAGTCTGCAAAGGAGGTAAATAGGACAGTAGAGAGAAAAGACCACCAGACCTATTAATCAAAATGAAGTCTGCAGTCTAGAGCTTATGATCTCCAACACAATTCTTAAATTGTAGGTGGAATCCCAGAAATGTCACAGTTAGACTCCATGGTTCTCAAACTATGAACTGAACAAACGGCTACATCAAATATTCATGTAGTTCATATAAAATGTTTGGTTCATATTTATTTTTTTAACTTGGAGGGGAAAAAAGCAGCCAAATGACTTTGGGTTTAAGTCTCCCACTGCAGGTATTTCCCATCTCCAATTTATGCTCTGTTCAACTATTTTGTTATTTTTGCTGTAGTCTGAGGACACTACAAGGACCAATATTTCGGGTGGAGGGGAGGGGTTAGCTGGGTCAGCACTTCAAGTTGTTGGGAAACCTCTGCCTTAAGACAAGACTGTTCCCAAAAGTAGTTAAGCAGAGAATGACTTGCTATTGATTAATAGCAAAGTCATTCCCTGTATCCAGGGGAACAAAAAGAAAAAGTATGCCACTTTTTGCATAACATCCACTTTTTCAGCAGTACCAGCTGGAGAAAGAAGGAATTCCAAGTCCTCAGGGTCCCATACAATTCTAGAAAAGCTATCTACAACTGTACAGGTTTTAGATAATTTATCGATAAGCAGAGAAAAGCCCCAGTGAAGCATTTTTTTCAATTCTAAAATTAGAGTGGTTGGCAAATGGCAAAATCTAGGCTACATTTCCTCCATTTCCAGAAAAATAGAAATTAAGAATTAAACAGGGCAGGTCCAGATGAACGCACACATGACTGTTGCAGCAAGAAGCACACTGAGAACAAAAAATGTTCCCCACACAGCATATTTGCAGCACAGGCTCTAAATAAAAAAAAAACGAAAAAAAAACACTTGGGAAAAAAGTGGCACAGGGCACGGTTCTGTAGTGCGCCCTGAGGCAAGCCAGGGCTGGGACCTCCAGAGATGCTCTGGCATCTGGCCAGAGAGTCTCTATAGTGCTCCTGCTGCGTGCAGGGCAAACAGAAGCGAGGAAAGGCTGCGGCATGACCCATCAGTGTGGCCCCAGGCACTGTCCCAGGTAAGCAGGGACTTGGGGTGGGGGAGCTCTGTGGTTTCTAGAGGGGTTTGTGGGTGTATGGCGAGTGGTGAGGGGTGCACAGCCCCTGGCGCTGGCAGCAGCAGCTGAGCCATGCCTGCTGCAGCGCTGCGACCTGCAGTCTATGCAGGGAGAATGCCCCACTAGCGTGCCTTTGGACAGGACCGGGACAGCTCCTGCCACCACCTGCAGCTCCTGTCCAAAGGTGCACACTAGCAGGGTGGGCTGAGCCAGTTCTCCATGGGGTCCACAGCGATGTGCAGCCTCGGGGCTGTGCCTGAAAGCTAATGCGCAGGGGGCTGTCTGCCGCAGGGGGTGGGGAGGCACACGTGTGGTGCCTCCCCTCCAAACCCCACATCCCCCACACCACCCCACATACCCCAAACCAGCCCCACATCCACCTACATTCCCCCCTCCACTTCTCCTGCAAACCTCACATCACCGCATCACACACCCAGCAAACCCAGCTGCCAGACAGGATGAAACCTGCTGGTAGGAGCTGTGGCTACAGGGGCAGCTGTCCCCACATACTGGTTAGTGAACGTGTCAGAGGAAGTTCTAAGTTTCCCATGATAAGAAAACCAAAAGCAAACATCAAAGCATATAGTTATTTGGAATTTATTTTATTATGATTATAGAGACACTGGTAGGCTTCCAAATTGCTTTTAAATTGTAAATATATTTATAAAAGACTGCCCAACTGATCTCCCTCTCCCCCTCTCCCTATACGCACATATATAGTGGTCGTTTATTTTAATTGTGGAAGAACATGGTTTTTGCAGTCTTTTAAAGAGTGAATTTGAGATTTTTTTTAATCAGAGAATTTGCAGTTTTTAAATAGGCAATACCAGGATCCCTGCTAGTGAGGCAAGTGGCAGGACCCAGGCAGAGGGTCCAGTGCTGGCACCCAGGACCCAGTTGGAGGGCAAATGAGGTGGCTGACGTTTTGGCAATTCGGGGCCATTTGACATTTCAAAGCAGGCTACCACACTGAGAAGATCTTCCAGGCAATAGCTGCCTAGATGGCAGGGTGGGTCACACATGGCAGCAGTGCTGCACAAAGGCCAACTGTGCAGCCATGGTCCACTGGCACCTGGCCCAGGGGTGCAGATGCCTCTGCTGCAGTGCCCATACCACAGCCCAGGCGGCCGTGCGGGCCCCATCCAGGTCTGACAGACGCGCAGCCTTGGGGCTGCATGCTGTCGCTGGTGACAGTGGGTCATAGCCAGGTAGCAACCCCCACTGCCAGAATGGTGCAGTAGGATGTGCCAACAGTGACTGAACTACTGAAACTGTTTCCACTTTAGTAGTTGCTACTTTAGGCCAATAACTGATTATGGCAAAACTTGTTCCATCTTCATAAGCCTAGTATAGTTCTTACTAGTGAAGTGGTCAAGCTTCCAAATGACATCAAATTATCCATATTGGTAAAAACCAAAGCAGACTGTAAAAGGCTACAAAACCCCCTAACCACCGACATTCACTTTTAATTCTGGAAATGCAGCCACATGCCTGCAGTAGCCCAGGCCAAAAGCTGGGGGAAGGGTTCTAGAACATGCCTCCCTGTTGGACAGGAGCAGACAGCTTGGGCCAAAGCTAGCCCACCCACCCTGCAAGGGGAAGTTTGCAGGGGAGGTGGCAAAGCATCCTGGGAAGCTAGGGGACTACGAATTAACTCGAATATGGAGGGGATCTGGGACAGAAGTTCAATAAACCAATTTAACCTAAATCAGTTAAGTCTGATGCTACTTCCATCCGGGTTAATCTTAAATTGGTTTCAGCCATTTTGAAAGCTGTTTACATGCACTGAACTTCTGTTTGTTACAGATTTCAACCAGTTTCTGATCACTTATACTGGCTTATGTATAATTTCTGTCCCTACCCACAGAGGCAGAGTGGATGCCAAAAGGGAGAGTGAACAAGGTATAACAAGGGTTTTTTTCCCACTGTTCCCCTTTCACTTGAAGCCTCCAGCACTTAACATCCAGGAAGTTCTCATTTAGAGGCTGTATCCCTAACTCCCATGCTCAATAGCTACTGAGGCTCCTTTCCTCCAAGAATCTGTCCGATCCCTTTTTGAATCTAGCTAAACTGTCAGCTTCCACAATTTCTGGTGGCAACAAGTCCAACACTTTACTTACATGCCATGTTAAAATGAATTTCATTTTGTTAGTTTTAAACTTACTACCTACCGGTTTCATTTTGTGATCCCTAGTTTTTGTATTGCGAGAGACAGTAAATAATAAATATCTATTTACTTTCTCTTCACCTTTTAGTATTTTGTAAACTCCTATGTCCCCTCAAGCATCTCTTTTTTTAAACTGAATAGACCTAGCCTCTTTAGTTTCTCCTCATATGGAAGTCCCTACATACCACTAATCATGTTTGTTGCTCTTCTCTGGACCTTCTCTAGTTCTTCAATCTTTTTTTTGAGATGCTGGGACCAGAATTGGGTACAGTACTCAAGGTGTGGCTACACCATGAACTTATAAAGGAGCATGATGATGCTTCCCATTTTGTTTACAATTTGCTTCTTACTAATTCCCAACATATTGTTTGCTTTTTTGACAGCTGCTGAGCACTGAGCTGATGCTTTTAGTAAACTGTCCCAAATGACTCCTAGATCCCTTTCCTATGTGGTAACAGCTAATGTAGAACACATCATAGCATAGGTATAGTTTGGGTTATTTTTGTCCACGTGCATCACCTATCTACGCTCATCAGACATTTAATCGCCCATTTGCTCAATCATGCCAGATCCTTCTGTAGTTCCTCCCAGTCCTCGATTTTTATCACTTTGAATAATTTTGTGTCATCAGCAAATTTGATCACCACATAACTCACCCCTTTTTCCAGATCATTTACGTACATCAGGGGTAGGCAACTTCTGGCCCAGGTGCCAGAGTGTGGCATGCAAAGGCATTTTGTTTGGCATGTGCACCTTGGGTTGGATGGCAAGGAAGAAGTCAGGGCTGTACTGCCACAACAAGGATCGGGCCCCTTGCAGCTCCCATACCATCTGCTCCTGGCATGCCAACATCTTACAAACACATTGCCGACCCCTGATGTACATGTTAAATGACACTAGTCTCAACACAGATCCATGGGGGACTCCACTATTTATTTCCTTAAAACTGACCATTTATACTCGCTCTTTGCTTTCTGTCTCGGCTAATTTCTAATCCATGACTGGATGTTCCCTGTAATACCACAATTACTTGATGGGGAAACTTGTCAAAAGCTTTTTGGAAGCCCAAATATACTATGTCAACTGGACCGCCCTGATCCACTGCTTACTGCCCACATCATCAAAGCGTTCTAGTAGGTTGGCGAGGCACAATCTTCCTGTGACAAAGCCATGTTGATTCCCCCCTCAGTAAGTCATATTTATGCATGTGCTGAACAATTCTTTTTTTTATTATTGTTTCTACCAGTTTTCCAGGAATAGAAATCAGGCTCACTAGACAACTACTTTATAGAAAACAGTGTAGATTTTAAAAACTTTTCTGGAAACAGATCATCATTGCAATACATGCAATAGCTATTTAACTTTGCTATAAAGAATGACCTGAAGGTTAAACCCATGATGGAACAGTATTATTTTGATATACCTAGAAAGATTTAATAAATCATAACCTGTCGTGTTTAAAATGAATGAAAGCCATTGTTATTGATTAAATGTTTTGAGAGAATGCAAATACATAGGTACAGCAAAAAATAGATGTTATGCTGCAGAGAATCATCCCTACCCTGTCAATGAAATCAGAAAGGGTCACTAGGTCTTTTCCACCTTTGCCTTCTATTATTTTACTGCTTTATGTGCACTATCATTTAACTGTTACTGTAGTTAAGATGAATCTTCTGAGGCTTTGCTGCAGACATCAGATTCCTCCAGAAAATGATGCAACTTGCATCTTAAAGGTGTCTTCATGGGAGATTATATTTTCCAAAAATAATTATAGTGATGTCTTCATTTAGTTAATTTAATGAATTAATTAAAAAGAGTAATAGTATAGGAACCTTTCACTTGTGAAAGTTAAAATTTTCACAGTATTTTGGTTGTTGCTGTTGCTAGACCTGAACTTTTTGTAGCTTAGATGTTTTGGGCAAAGAACAAAGTGAAATACATAAGTTCCCAATCTACACTTTATTTCTACCCCATGTTTAACTAATTCCATATAAAACTATCAAAATCATTTTCTGTTATCCAGCATGGTTTGGGCTATGCATATCAAAGCATGGTTAACATGTCTAATCCAATCCTTGCTGGCTAGTCAAAACTTTTATCTAAGATAGTGTTTAATGGAAACTGTCTGGTGGTACTTTATACAAAAGAGGAGTCTAAATGGATACATGTGACAGTCTCTAATCACTAACACACTACCTACACTATGAACAAAACCATGAAATAGATTTCTACCATCACTCAAACCCATCGACATGTCTATCAGTACCAACAACAATCGGAGTCCTAGCACAGATGGGAAAGCTGGCTGCTGCTATTTCAAACACTCACTTTACCCAAAGCAGACACCAAGATGGATATGGATACAAATCAATTACTTTAATAAGATGCTGAAGTGAAGAGTTAAAATCTCATTTTGTCTTCTAAAGATTATCTGGGTTTGGCACATACATACCAGAGACTATTAACGTTAGTCAGAACGTAATTCAGTAGTTTAATCATTGGAGTGAAGCCTGTGCCTGCTGCCAATAAAAACAAATCTTCCAAAGTTTGAACCTGGCACTTCTGAAAGCTACCCTCAGGATTGCTCACATAAATATAGTCTCCTGTACAGTAAAAACAGAAGAGTAATCATGAATAAAAATTGAAATACTGGTTATCTATTATAAACAGGTTTCTATACTGCCATTATCATCATAATGCATGAGCATAATAGGAGAGCGTTTTCCAGGTGTTATATAGCATGACTAATAGCTACCATATTTAGTTTCTCCTCTTTAAGGGAAAATTGCTTAAGCAACATGGTTTGTTTTTGTTTTTTTTGTGTGGGGTTTTTTTGTTTGTTTGTTTGTTTTTACACACACACACCTCTCTCATACTAACAGAAGCAACACACACACACACACACACACACACACACACACACCCCTCTCTCATACTAACAGAAGCAAGGTCAAGTTGTGTCCTGCATTCCTACCAACATTTCTCACAAAAATAGGTCTGGATTGCTTTGGTCCATGAGAACCAAGGGGAAGACCTAGACCGGGAATTCTTAAGTTAGCTCATGGAGGTAGTTAGGTCAAAAGATGTGGTCATCATGGGTGACCTGAACTTTCCAGACATCTGCTGAGAAGAGTAGTCAGCCAGGTCTGACTGCTCACGTAGGTTCCTAGCCAAAATACAGGACCTCCATCTAGCCCAGGAGGTGCACAGCCCCACCAGGGTATACGCCTTGTTGGATCTGGTGCTGGCCACAGGCGACGACCTCGTGAGGGGGCTGCGGGTGGTCGACCACCTGGGCAACAGCAATCATCGTCTGCTGGAATTCACCATCCAGCACAAGGTGGCAAAAACCTGCAGCAAGGCAGCAGCCCTGGACTTCAGGAGGGCGGACTTCAATGAGGTAAGGAGAATAGTCGGGGAGGTACTGAGGTCCCGGAGGGGAGGGGAGGGGAGTCGGGTGTCCAAGAAGAGTGGTCGTTCCTTAAGGAGACGATCCTCCAAGCCCAAAGGGAGGTAATCCCAACACAGATCAAAGGGGGCAAGAGGGCGCAAAAGCCCCCATGGCTCACCAAAAGCACACGGGAACGTCTCCTAGCTAAAAGGGAGGCATACACCCAATGGAAGAGAGGGGCCATCACCAGGGAGGACTATACCTCGGTTGCTCGGGGCTGCAGGGAGACGGTCAGGAAGGCCAAGGCGGAGATGGAACTGGGACTAGCTACCCGGATCAAGGACAACAAGAAGTCCTTACATAGGGGGCAAACAGAAGGTATCGGGTAACGTGGGGCACGCTAGGAAATCTGGTCGTCACACCAGACGACAAAGTTAACCTATTTAACCATTTCTTTGCCTCCATTTTCCTGAGCAGGGACCGAATCAGCCCGCCCACCGGGACCCCCTCAGGCCCCAGGGGAGGCACACCCAGGCCTAGGGTCAGTAAGGATCTAGTCAGGGAACTTCTGGAGGGACTGGACGTATTAAAATCAGCTGGTCCTGACGACCTTCACCCCAGAGTGCTGAGGGAACTAGCAGAGGTCATTGCGGGACCCCTGGCATAGCTTTATGAGCACTCATGGTGCTCTGGCGAGGTGCCAGAGACCTGGAAAAGGGCCAATATAGTTCCCGTTTTCAAAAAAAGGAGGAAGGAGGACCCAGGATACTATAGGCCACTTAGTCTTACCTCAATCCTGGGTAAGCTCTTTGAGAGTTATCCTGGTGCATGTCTGCGAGGGGCCAGCAGGGGAGGTTATGCTTAGGGGCAACCAACATGGGTTCGTTAGAGGCAGGTCCTGTCAGACCAACCTGGTGGCCTTCTATGACCAGGTAACAAAATCCTTAGATGCAGGGGTAGCAATGGATATAGTCTTTCTGGACTTCAGGAAGGCCTTCGACACTGTCTCTCACTCCATTCGCATTAAAAAACTAGGGGACCATGGTGTTGACACCTATACAGTCAAATGGGTCGCTAACTGGCTGGAGGGGCACACCCAGAGAGTGGTGGTGGATGGGTCATTTTCAACCTGGAGGGATGTATGTGGGCACTGGGGTCCACCAGGGCTCAGTCTTCGGACCTGCACTGTTCAACATCTTGATCAGTGACTTGGACAAGGGGGTAAAAAGCACCCTGTTCAAATTCGCAGATGACACTAAGATGTGGAGAGAAGTGGGCACGTTAGAAGGGAGAAATAGGCTGCAAACAGACCTAGACAGGTTACAGGGGTGGGCGGATGAGACAGGATGGGTTTCAACATGGATAAGTGCAAGGTGCTGCATCTGGGGAGGAAGAACCAGCAGCATACCTACAAGCTGGGGAACTCCATTCTCGTCAGTGCAGAGGCAGAAAAGGATCTTGGAGTCATTATTGATGCCAAAATGAACATGGGCCGGCAGTGCGGGGACGCGGTCAGGAAGGCCAACCATACCTTGTCATGCATCCACAGATGCATCTCGAGCAGGTTCAAGGAGGTGATCCTCCCCCTCTATGCAGCACTGGTCAGGCCACAGTTGGAGTACTAAGTCCAGGTCTGGGCACTGCACTTCAGGAGGGATGTGGACAACTTGGAGCGGGTCCAGAGGAGGGCCACTTCATGATCAGGGGCCAGCAGGGCAGGCCCTATGAGGAGAGGCTACGGGACCTGAACCTGTTCAGCCTCCACAAGAGAAGGCTGAGGGAGGATCTACTGGCCTGTTACAAACTAGTCAGAGGGGACCAGCAGGCATTGGGAGAGTCCCTGTTCCCCCGAGCGCTACCAGGAGTGACTAGAAATAACAGTCACAAGTTGGCAGAGGGTAGATTCAGACTAGACATCAGGAGGCACTACTTCACAGTCAGGGCAGCTAGGATCTGGAACCAACTTCCAAGTGAAGTGGTGCTGGCTCTGACCCTGGGGGTCTTTAAGAGGAGGGTAGATGAACACCTTGCTGGGGTCATTTGACCCCAGTACTTTTTCCTGCCATGGCAGGGGATCGGACTTGATGATCTGCTCAGGTCCCTTCCGACCCTACCAAGTATGAAACTTTAAACAGAAAAAAATACAGTGCAAGATATTATATGGTTACAGTTAATAAAAGCAATTGATTACTGTAATCACATCTAAATAATTATAGCTATAACCGATAACATTACAAGTCTTGTCCTCAGCATGCATCGTCTAGAGCAGGGGTGCTCAATCTGGCCCGCAGGGCTCCCAATGGGTCTCAAAATCTGGTGACAGGGGAATGGTGCCAGTGCCCCCATATTGCCAAGCAATACCTTCAAAAGGTAACACAAATAGGACTAAAATGCTTAGTAGGATGGGAAACCTACAAAAAGAGGCTTACTGTAGCAAAAACACTTACCAATCTGTAGGCGGTCAAGTTCTGATGAGAACAATCCACTGGGATAAATTTTGATCATTAAAAATAGACATGCTCCATCATGGCAAGATGGTTCCTTAAAATGCGTTTGCAGGGAACAAGATACTGGGGTATATGGTTTCACTACCTCTTTACCTAAGGAAAGGGAAGGAAAGGAGTAACTTAACATTAAAAATATAAGGACCCACATCAAGCAATTTTAATGTGACCATTATCTACTGAGTAATCTACTCACTCCCAGCTCCTATGGTAATCTAGTAGTCTGATAAGTATACACAAGTAACTATCTTGGAAGCACAGAAATTTTAAATACTGATTTAACTCCATATATTTGAACTCTACATTTTAGAGGAAGATATTTTGTAGCTAGAACCAGATGAGAACAATCAGGTTTCTGTTTGCTTCTTTCACAATTCAATGAATCCATATTTTAGATACGAGTTGTATGATACTTATCTGTCATTATGAAAACTTTGCATAGGCATGTGTATCAGATTAGCTTCAGAAACTTCTGAAGTCAATGAAGAACTCTGCATGTTTCTCCCCCAAGATTTACCAGAGCACCATATAATCCAAGATGTTATTTCATATCTTAGCATACTGAAAGAGGATTATAAATTATTAGGATTCCATTTTCCATGCCCTCCTGCTAATCTGAGAATAAAGCATCCAGCAATACCGGGGAAAAAAAGGCCAACTGTCTAGCCAACTCTAGCTTCAGGCTAATGTGGTAAAGCAGACGGGCCAACCCATAACATACGAAAAGTGGCATGGGCAGCTGCTGCATGTGGTATGAAAACCCGAGTGCTCAGCAAAGGGAAGCACTGGAATAGAAGAGGAGAGCAGAACTGTCTATGGAACAGCAGGTACAGGATTCTGAGACTGCAAGATGACATGTCAAGTATCAAAGCCAAGAGCCAGGCTAACTCTTCTCAAGACCCTACAGCAGCCACTGAACTCAGGACTCTGGATCCTTAGTCACTATATAAAACTGTAGTGGCTGCAGGGCCAGGGAAGGGTTAACCCGCTGCTTAGCAGTGATACCTCTTCTTACAGCAGCAGCACCCTACACCTGCTCTGCATGGCCACAACCAAAGGTTCAAGCCCCTCTGCCTCCACTCCAGCACCTCCAGGCTCAAACTCCTATCAGGTATGCCTCGGGGGGGGGGCATAGATAAGAGCAGCACTAGTGAAGGGTCGTAACTTGCAGCACAGCTGCACACTGCAGCCAACAGGAACAAAGGAGTGGTACATTTGGCATCACATTAGACTATCCTAGACTCAGCCCAAACAACTAGGTATCCATTTCCAGCTGGGATGAATGAGAGTAGCCTTTGGCATGGTTTACAGCAAGTCTAAAATTCATTTAAGGGTTATCCCAACCCTTCTTCCCCCCAGCTCTTAAAAGAAAAGAGACTCTGGCTTCCAGTTCTGCTGCTACGAGCAGAAATGGATTTAAAAGGCTTTCAATTCTGACTCTGCAAATCCTCCTACTTGGTTCTGTTGCTGCTGCGTTTTTTGTTCTTCTACGTAGGTGTAGCTTTTTCAAGTAGAAGCTCCCAAGAGAATCATGATGACACATCTCTTCTTTTAGTGGAAAGTTAGGCATCTGAAGATAGGGGCTTTTTCACCCCACCTCAGTTCCCTGCAAGTTCACTTTCAAGTGCACCACTAATACTCTTCAAGTTCAAGACAGGGTTATCTATTTTTGACTAATAACTGTATGAGAATGCAATGCCCATTTCAGCGTCTATAATGGAAATTCATGTAGAATGCCTTCTGTAAATTAAATTGGCATGCTCTATTTTTGACAATTGGAACAGATAAACTGCAACTATATAATAAACTTAAGATCAGAAGTAATTAAGAGGAATAGATTCCCTTGACTTGATTATAAAAAGATAATGTTTGGAGTGATTTTTAAATAAATAATTAAAAAAATAAAATCAGACCTGAGTTCTGTTATTCATTAAGTAAAAACACCTTTAAGTAATCATAGTGGATACGCGGTACATTATTCTTACCTGTAACTATTTGTTTGAGATAAACATGCTGTCCAACAGGAACCTGGAAATGAGTGCTTTGTGGCAACAGTAAGCAGAAAAGTCTGGTGTCATGGGTGACTTCTGTTTTGGAAATCAATTTACACTTTCTATAATAAAGCCCTAAAAAAGAATTGAAGATTATGTTTTAACGTCCGTAGTAAAACAGCAGTCTTAGTAGGCTCTCAATTTAAGAAGTGTTTACAAAACTTCATTTTTAAAGATGTTCCTATACTGTAATCATTCTGATGTTGGCTTTGTCTTCTTTTGCCTCTTTTTTAGTCTCAGCATGGAGTATTCATGGATCATTCATATACAACATTAAAATAACCTTTTATTAAACTGTTAACTTCAGAAATTTTACATAATTTTATATTTTTGATTTGGAAATTGAATTTCTATCTTTACATTATTCCCTTGACAACAGCAGAATGGCAGCAAAGTAAGCAAGGTATGTGAAATTCCTCTTTTGTTCAGACTGTTCATATGAAGAAAGGCAGCTGCCTCTTTTTTCCACAAGCCATCTTCCCATATACTTAAGAAACACATTAGGGTATGTCTACACTGCAATCAAAAGTGTGACTAGAACATGGGTCCACATACCAGCAGAAGCAAAGTCACAGCAGTACTGGCTCAGAATATGTTTGTAAGCAAACCTGTGATCCTGGATATATACTCGGGTGGCTAATCTGCACTGCCAGGCTTCACTGCTACAGGAATTCAGCAAGACACACTAAAGTTAGCTCAGCTACACTTACCCAATGTTGCAATCCCATCTTTGTTATATCACGGATATCCCTTATGTCCTGTCTATATTAAGGTTTGGGAAGAAATCTTGTACCACAGCACTCCTTTAATCAAGCCAGCTCAACTACACGTTCAAAAAGGTGATACTGCTAGTTCTAGTATACATAGGACATGCATGTTTAACCATCATGAAGAGTTAAATCATTTATGTTCAATCTATATTAGTTCTCCTACTACCGCTACTGGGGAAGAAGCACCAACTGAAATTTTCCCAAATGTACTAGTATGTGGAAACTGCATTTAAGCCAGACTGTGGAAATCTTTTAACTGTACTGTACTACAAATTTATAACAACAACAGCAACAACAACAAAGTGAGTTTTTAGGTAGGAAGAACATTTTGTCAAATGTGTCTCAGTAAGATTTGTTACGTTTTTTTATATTTTCCTGGAAGATTTCTAGATTAATACCAGAAAGGATCATTGTGATCATCTATTCTGATCTCCTACAAAACAAAGACCATTGGACATCATCCATGCTTCAACACTATCACCCGTGGTTAAACTAGATCATCTCTCCTCAAACAAAATATAATCCTAATTTACAAGTTTCCAGTGATGCAGAATCAACTGCTATCCTTGGTAATTTGGTTCAGTAGTTCATTTTCCTTACTATTAGAAAACCTGTACTTTATTTCTAGTCTCATTTTATTTAGCTAACATTTAAGTCTTAAAGGCAAGTATCACAAGGAAAATCTAATCTTTGTTGCTATTTACACACCATGTCAGAGATTTTACATTTAAACAGAAAACAATGTCACAATAGTTCCTTGAGGGCGTTTTTGCTTTTCCTTATTTTTTTGTTTTGTTTTACTTTTTTCAGTTTGAGTCCAGGATCAGCAACTTTACAACTAATGAGAAATTTAAGAACAGCTAGAATAAGATAAATGTTTCAATTATTCCGTATGTTAATAAAATAATATATTATTAGGATACCACCCCATTCTATTATGAACATTTTCAAGGCACAGACTAAGATCTTACTTATTTCTCAGTATAACAGTGTATCACTTGAAACAAACTCATAGTTTCATAGTTGGTAGGGTCCAGAAGGGACCTGAGCAGATCATCAAGTCCGACCCCCTGCCATGGCAGGAAAGAATACTGGGGTCAAATGACTGGGGTCAAACTCAAACCAAACAAAAAAAGCTGTCCAAATGGCAGCCCACGAACCATATGCAGCCCCACGAGGGCCCTGCCTGGTCCCCACCCCACTGCTCCAGTGGCAGTAGCCAGGGCTCCCTGTTGCCCTGGTGCCTCCTTCCCCATCCGCTTAAGGCAGAGCAGGGCAGTCCAGCACAGTGCAGTCCTCATTGCTGGGGGAACCCATGGCACTGGGTATCTGAGAGGCATGATGCCATGGGGGAAAGGGGAGGGGAGCTGGTGGCAAGGGAGCTTAGGGTGATGAAGGGTGCCCAGATCTGCACTACAGCAGAGGCAGAAGCACAAGGGCACGAGGTAGCTGGCAGGAGGAAGAAGAGCACTAGGCGCACAGTGCAGAAGGAGGGCATGCCGTGTGGCCCAAGCAGCATGCAGCCTCTGGCTACTTCAAAGTTGGTCAGTCCTGTTAAAAATATTAACATAAGTGATGTTAATATTCAGTAATTGGCTGTCACTGTTCCCCTGCTTTACCCATGGCAGGTTAGATTGTTAGGTCTGTGTTGTGTCAGGGTTGATGTTTAAGAAAAGTGAAAATTAAAAAAAAAAAGGGTGTTTTTTTTTCAAAGCACCATCCTTGTTATGGCTCATTTTTAACTTTAGAACAGGGCTCGCCATCTGGCACCCTGCAGGCTGCATGCAGCTCATGGCCTCCTGCCCGGCTGCTGCTCCTCCCACCACTCCTGCTACTGCCGCTCCAGGGAACTATGGGCTCCCTTTTCCAGCTTCTGCTTCCTACCCCCACCCACAGGGGTGGAGCAGATGGCCCACAGTGGCTTGGGAAGGCCACAGCCCACACAGATGTGAGGGTGTTGTGCTGCCTACACATTGGCCTACAGGTCAGGGGCACGGGGGAGCAGAGGGAGGGAGTGAAGGGTAGCCCACATGGCCTACAGGCCAGAGATGGACAGGGTAGAAGGACACCACAAGACGCAGCCCCCAGCCACTCAGAAATTGGATATATCCCTGATTCTGACAGATATACAGGTTTGAAAACTAGCAAGAAAGCACTAAAGTCTTTTTCTTTACTTCCTCACGCAAACATACAGACCAATTCCAATAATTTAATGGTTGCATGCTATTTACTGAAATAGTAGGTATATACAATTACATGTGCAATCTAGATTTTAGTACTATTAAATACTTCAGCAAAATAGTCATAGATTTCTTTTGCGTGGAAAATAATTGCCTAATACACCCATTAAGAATTTTATACCCATTTATTAATATTGACTGCTTCAAATCCAGGTCTACACTACAAACTGCTATCAACACTTCTACACCGAGGTGTGGTTTCTGACACTGATGTGCTCATTGGAGATGTGACTGCAGTGGCAAGTGTAAGTTTAATATATGCAGCTGTTTTTCACTTGAGGGACAGGAGACCCTAGAATGAAATAACTATTTTGCTCAGGTGCAAGGGAAAAATAAAATATATTGGTAAAGTGCAGTCAGTATATGTATCAACAAAACTCCACTTTGCTAATGTATTACATTGTTGTAGCTATAATGAAAAAGTGCTCTTACTGCCTGTACCAATAAGTATATTTTGTACAAAGATTCTAAGAACCTGCTGAAAGAAATAGGATACAATGTAACATTAATTACAATATGAATCAACGAAGTAGGAATAAAATAAAACAAGAAAACATGCATTTCAGGGAATAAAGACAAGGGTCACTGGCAAAAACCCAATTTATTCATCAGTTTTCATTGTGATCACAAATGAAAACAGCTTGTAAATCCAAGGTTACTCAATTAATATACTAGTAATCAAGCTACTTAGGTAGAAGACACAAGAATCAATAGTGCCTCTATTTAACACTGGTCCTCATCTGGAATAGTGTGTGCAGTTCACGGCTCCACATTTTAAAGTGGATATGGAGATGTTAAAGAGGGTACAGAGGCAGACAACAAAGCCTTGGAAAACAAGTCATACAAGGAGAGGCTGAAGTAGCTAGGTATGTTCAGCTTGCGGAAAAGACGCTTAAAAGAGGACATGATAGTAGCCTTCAAATACCTGAAGGGCTGCCATAAAGAAGAGGGAAAGCACCTTTTCTCTCTTGCTGCAGAGAGGACATTGACCAGTGGCTTGAAGTTGCTGCAAAGTAAGCTTAGATATCTAAAAAAAACTTCTTCACTATTAGAATAGTGAGGCAGTGGAATAGACTGCCTAAGGAAGTTGTGAACTCTATCTCTGGAGGTGTTCAAGAAGAGGTTGGACAGCCACTGGTCAGAGATGATCTAGGCATAGCTATGCCTATACTCTACTACGGGTATTCCCTATGATTTAGGGCTTTGCTGCTTGCCCCAAGTTCCCACTTTCTGTTTCATGTGTCAGGGTGTTTTTAAGTCTCCCTCGCAGGCACTGAGTTTTGGCTACAGCCAAGGTTGGGGACTTTGACTGGTGTGTTCCAATGCTCCTGCTGGGACCAAACTCAGAGGCTGGATGGTTAGAATTAGTTAAGTTTAGATTATGGAGTGTAAAGAATGGTTTGAACAGGGATGATCCTGCCTCAAGAAGGAAATGGACTAGATGACCTCTGGAGGTTCCTTCCAAGCCTACTTATCTAGAATTCTTTAATTCTATTTCTCAAGGAAATCTTGAAGTTAAAATACAGTTTGCCAAGTTACTGTCATCTAGATTATGATACAGAAGACAACAGATTGATATCAATAGCCTGGGGAAAGGCAATTAGGATCTCCAATAGCATTCCTGGAACCTTTTTTCCTTACTAGAGAAAGATGCATGGTTAGTGATGAATACCAACTGAAAAGAAGTGCAGGTAAGAACTACACAGATACCGTTTTCCCTTTCCTGCCCCAAGATAAATTAGGTTTTCCACCAGAAATTGAATACCAAAGCTAGAGATGCACCGATATATCAGTCTGATATCAGATCAGCATAGATATAAAGAAAATTGTATTGGAAATTGGCCCAATGTGACCGAAAAGTTGGCCGATAAATGCCTGTGCGTGTGTGCAGCCACAGCGCAGCATGCAGGCAGTGAGGAGTACAGCCTGGTAGCTTGGAGAACTGCATGAAGCTGGTAAGTCACTGTGGTAGAAGGGG